TTTTCCTATTTTTCTTTCTAGATGAGAAATAAAATTATAGAAGACATATTCTTTTAGTGTTCTGATCAATAACAATGTGTTGGGGGGGTGGTGGTTTCCCACATAACACCAAGCAACTCTTGGGCACCAGCTGGGTGTCCTACAATTCAACTCAATTCTGACACTATCTACTCAGAGATGGCTTCAAATTCCACATGTTGAGAGTTCAGTCCTACACTACTTCCCCACTCCCCACCACACTTCAGATGCCAGTCACAAGCCCAGGTTATTACCTGTGCATCTGATCGACTGGCTATAAACCAGAGGTTCCCATGACTCTCCCCCTCAGGTTCATTTAATTTGCTAGAGCAGCTCACAGAACTCAGAGAAACATTCCACTTACTAGATTACCAGTTTATTATAAAAAGGTATAACTCAGGAACAGCCAGATGGGAGAGATGCCTGGGCAATGTATGGGGAAGGGGCATGGATCTTCCAAGTCCTTTCTAGGTGTGCCATTCTCACTGCATTTCCACATGTTCCCCAATGTGGAAGCTCTCTGAACCTGGTTCCTTTGGGTTTTTATGGAGGCTTCATTACATTGGCGTGGTTGATTAAATTATTGGCCGTTGGTGATTGATTCCACCTTCAGCCCCTCTCCTTTCCTTGAAGGTCATGAGGATGAGACTGAAAGTTCCAACCCTCTAATCACATGGTTGGTTCTCTGGTGACTAGCCTCCATCCCTTGGTGATCAAGGGCATTTCAAAAGTTAACTTATTAACATAACAAAACACACCTTTATCACTCTCATCACTTAAGAAATTCCAAGGGTTTTAGAAACTCTGGCAGAAACAGGGATGAAGACCAAATATATATTTCTTATTATAAATCACAATATCACTATATGTATATATTTTTAAACCTTGCTATTTTTGTTGAAATTTTTGAAATCATATCAAATATTTTTTAGTACAAAATATAATGTTTTGTATTTAAACAGAACTAGTTCTGCATAAAAATTCTTTGGAGGGACTTCTGTTTCTTGGAGGATTAAGTATATGTACATTTACTGATTCTTCCCTCTGAGTACAATAAAAGCCTGGGACATTTATACATAAAAAAATATAAGGAGATTCTGAAAGGTAGAGAGAAGACTGTATATCAGATAGGGACCTCAGGACCCACGGAAAACATGAAGATGGATTCCTTAAACTTTATTTTGCCTCATACATCCCAGACTTCTAACTAAAGTAGCCGGCAACTTAGAAACACCAATGCACGTAGACAAAATAGCCCCAAGAACATCTTGCTTTCATTATTCAAAGAACCTGAAAGGGACAGCCTAGCAAGGCAGGAAACTTTTATATAATAACTGCTCCACTCCAGCCAAACACTACAGAAACACTACACTACACTCTTCTTCAACTCCCAAATGCCAGCAAAAGCCAAGTAGGGAGCCTAGATTTCCACATTTACCAGGCTATAATGAGGTTCCCTTTCACCCCCCATGTTGAGATGTTCTCAGGGGAGGCCTAGTGGAGAGTCAGGATTTTCACCATTGCCCAGTGTTAACACAGGCAACCCCCAACTTCTTTGTGTCAGTGAAGGCTATGCAGGGAGCACTCCTCCTCTAAGAAAGTGTGGTATCAACCGAGACCCAGCAGGGATCCTAAACTCCCACCCTTTCTCGGTAGTAACAAATAATCTTTTATCTCCCAGGTGTCAGTGGAGGCCAAATGGAGAACCTAGATTTCCACCTTCACCTGGCATTAATGAGAAATTCTATCACTAGAGAGGAGTCAGGATGAGGACTACTAAAACACATGATGTAAACAAAGTTCAAAGTCTTATAATACAATATCCCCAAATGTCCAGGTTTTAATAGAAAATCACTTTGCCATACCTGGAATCAGGAAAATCTCAAACTGAATTAAAAAAAGTTAGTCAACAGACATCAGTACTGAGATGACAGAGACGTTAGAATTGTCTAAGAAATACTGTAAAGCAGCCATCATAAAAATGCTTCAACTAGCAATCACAAACAAACTTGAAACAAGTGAAAAAACAGAAAAAGGAAGTGGCACAATATCTAACAGGGGCTGAAAGAAAAGAACTGTCTAGAGTGACTCCCAGATCCAGCGAAGCCACCCTTCAGGAATGAAGGTGAAATAAAGACATTTACAAATGAAAGAAAGCCAAAATTATTCATCATTAACGGACTGAACCTCAAAGACTGGATAAAGGTAGTATTGCAAACAAAAAGGAAATAATAAAAAAGGAACCTTGGAGCATTAGGAACACAGTAAGAGCAAAATTGGGTAAATGCAATAGATTTTCCTACTTCTCTTTAGTTTTATAAATTATGTTTGACATATGTTTGATGATTAAAGCCAAAATTATAACACTATTTAATGTTAATCTCAGTGTGTGTAGAGGCATTATTTAAGACAATTATATTATAAATGAGGAGGGTGAAGGGACATAGATAGAGGCAAAGTTTCTACACCCCACTAGAACTAGTAGAGTGTCAACACCAGGGGACTTTGATAAGTTATATTCATATGATGTAACACCTAGAGCAACCGCTGACAGAGCTACACAAAGAGATATACCCCAAAATACTACAGATAAATTAATGTGGAGTTTAAAATATGTTTCAAGTAATATAAGAAAGCATGAAAATGCAAACAGAGAAAGAAAAACACAATAACAACAAAGCTATTTACACCCTCCCCACAGGCCTTTGATTAGCACCAAGACCGTTGACTCTTCCTGTTTTGTGGATGCACTGCTTGAGTCAAAGGCACTCAGGATCCCCGTAACTGCCATGTCCCAGTCCATGGTGTCACTGCCCCTAGTCTCACACCCCAGAAGGAAAAAATCAGCATACAGCCTCTATTGTTCTGTACACGGGCATCAAGTAACCCCCCTACACTCCAGCCCTGCCTCAGAAGCACCTCAAAACCGAGAAGCCCAGATGCACTCCAGACTCTAATTTTTCAAATTAGAGCCCTTGCTTCTGCTCTTTGAGCCCTCAACTTGGAAACAGTGTGCCATGCATATGAGCTCAAGCCCATGCTCACACCTAGTGAGAGCAGCCTATCTAGGGACATGCCATCCAATGCAAACAAGCTGAATCCCATACTCACTCATAAGGAGAATGGTCCACCTGACAACTTCTGTCCCCTTCTCATGGGCTCAATCTCATGCTCATGCATAATGAACGTGGCCCAACATGGCCTGCTGTCCCATGCATGGGAGTCAATGCCCTGCTCACCTGTTATGAGAGTGGCCACCCTGAGAACTGTAGTTTCATGTGCATGGGCTCAATGCCATGCTCACAAATAAAGAGAACTTCCCAACTATGGAACTGCCAGCTCATGTGCACAGGCCACATCCATTCTCAGCTGTCCTGAGAGTAGCCCTGTAGAGAACTACTACCCCATATATGTGGGTTTAATATCATGCTCATGAAATGAAAGGAGTCTACCTTGGGAACTGGTGTCCCATGTTCACAAACTAATATCATGCTCACCCATAAAAAAAATGCCCCAACTTGAAAACTGCTGTCCCACACTCACAGGCTCAATGCCAGTCACGGAAAATGAGACGCTGCCTTAGAGACTGCTGACTCATTATCATGGGCCCAACTAGGATCTCACATTAGTAGAGTGGCCCAAGGTAAGTACTGCTGTCTTGTGTCTTGGATTCAGTGCCATGCCATGTATAATGAGAGTGGCCAACCTTGAGAATGGCTGTCCCTTGCCCTTGGTCTTATCGTCATGCTCATGAATAATTAGTATGGTTTAGGCTAAGAAATGCTGTTCTATACACAAGGCTCAATATAATGATCACATGTAATAAAAGTTGCCCTCTTTGGAAAAGGCATATAGGCTCAATGAATTGCTCCTGCATAATTAGAGTGACCAGTCTGTTGGGCTGAATAGGGTCCCCCCAAAAATTCATGTCTACTTGGAACCTGCGAATGTGACCTTATTTGGAAATAGGGTCTTTGCAGATGAAATCTAGTTAAGATGAGGTCATAGTGGGTTAGGATGGGCCCTACATCCAATACGACTGGTCCTTATAAGAAGAGGAGAAGACACACAGACACAGAGACACATAGAGATGATGCCTTGTGATGGAGGCAGAGAGTGGAATGATGCATCTACAAGCCTAGGAATGCCAAGGATTATTGGCAACCACTAGAAGCCAAGAAGGAACAAAGAAGGATTCTTCCGAGAACCTTCAGAGAGAGCATGGCCCTGCTGACACCTTGACTTAGGACTTCTAGCTTGCAGAAGTATAAGAGAATAAATTTCTATAGTTTTAACCCACCTAGTTGTGGCACTTTGTTATGGCAGCCCTAGGAAACTAGTACATCCACCTGGTTCTGTTTGTTAGAAGTGGGTCATCAGGTCCAGTCTACACTCGAGGGGAGGGAATTACATAGGGCATGAATATCAAGAGGCAGGGATTGTGAGTCCATCTTAGTAGCTGCACACACCAGATGGAATTTACTTGTTGCATATGTGTTGCTCAGTTTTATCTAGGAAATGTTTGTGGGAATTATTGCACTAACAAACTCAGGGAGGAATGCTGGTAGGATATTCTGACTCACATGACACAGAGGAGGAAACTAAATCTCAGAAAGCTTAGGTGAATTCCCATGGTCATGTAGCTTTAAAAACTGCTGCCGAAACTCAAATATTGGAGCTGGATCCCCAAATTTGGAGACCATGTATATATCAACATAATCAATGAATCAATTCTTTTATCATGACATAGAAGACATGAAAAATCTTTCAATTAAAGTGTTAGTGAGAGTGCAACATGGGGGAGGGGAAAATAAAAATAATCACCAGTCTATTTTTTTTCTCTTTTTTTTTTAATTGATGTTTTAATTAGTTTATAACATTGTGAAATTTTGGGTTGTACATTTTTGTTTGTCCATCACCATATCTATGTCTCCCTTCACCCCTTGTGCCCACCCCCCACCCCCACTGCCCCTGGTAACCACAATACAGTTTTCTCTGTCCATGTGTTGGTTTATATTCCACATATGAGTGAGATCATACAGTGTTTGTCTTTCTCTTTCTGGCTTACTTCACTTAACATAATACCCTCCATGCCCATCCATGTTGTCGCAAATGAGACGATTTTGTCTTTTTTTACGGCTGAGTAGTATTCCATTGTATATATATACCACATCTTCTTGATCCAATCGTCAGTCGAGGGACACTTAGATTGCTTCCACTTCTTGGCTATAATGAATAATGCTGCACTGAACATAGGGGTGCATAAGCCTCTTTGGATTGTTGATTTCAGGTTCGTTGGATAGATTCCCAGTAGTGGGATAGCTGGATCATAGGGCATCTCTATTTTTAATTCTTTGAAGAATCTCCATACCGTTTTCCATAGAGGCTGCACCAGTTTGCATTCCCAGCAATAGAGGCTGCACTAGTTTGCATTCCCCCCAGCTGTGTATGAGATTTCCTGTTTCTCCACATCCTCTCCAACATTTGTTGTTTTTTGTCTTGAATCACCAGTCTATTTTTGTCTTATTTCTCTGAGGGCAGATTTCATTTCCCAGCTTGGCAGAGATGGATGACACAAAGCTGCAGAGGGCAGGCCCCAGGTAAGCCACATTTCTGTTTCATCCAGGGAGTGAGCGTTCAGCTCCCCAGCCATGCACAATATCTTCGTGAAATTAAATTAATCTATCAAGGCATGAAACACAACTATATGTTTTATACAGCATCATAAATCCCAGGAAATTAACTCGCTCTCAGCCTTTGCCTGGGGCAGCCTTCAGCAAAGAAAGTCCTTTTCTGAAACTTAATTGCTGTATATTTCTGCCAGATTTTTTTCTCTCTCTCTTCTTCCATCCAGCTCAAAAGGAGACCTCATAGAGGAAGAAAAAAATGTTTGGTTTCATTTCATCAGTAAAGTAAATTCTTCTTCCCACCATGGGTATGAAGTGTCAGGGATGTTTTACTCCCCAGGACATTTCTCTTTCAGAATGGCACACTGAGATTCTGTTATAAGGTGAGCATGTGGAGAAGCTGAGTGAGGAGTAGAACAGGAGCAGCTGCAGAGACTGTGGTTAAGCACAGGGAGTTGGTGCTTTCAACTGGTCATGTTATTTTGGGTAGAAATTCTGGAGGTAGTGTAATGGAATTCAGAGATTAATAATCAGTTTAGGAATATCAATGACTGTTGGTCATTGCAGAGAGATATTTGCTGAGCACCTGCTATGTGCCAGGGACATGATGGGAACTATCTCATTTTATCCTCATGGCAACTGTTTTCATTTCCTCAGTAAGAAAACTGAACCTAACATTTAAGAAGCAGCTTGCCCAAATCACATTACTTAGAATTGTTGGAGAGATGTGATTTATTTCCAAGTCTATCTGACTCCAAAATCCATCCTTTTCCATACGCTGATGGCCCCTGAAGCTTTAAAAGGGAATAGCTGTTTTTAGTGGCAAATTGAGTCCGGCCACACATGATAGGTAGTTATATATTCAGCATGTTTTGACTGGGAAACTTTATAATAAAAAAAAAGCAGCTACAATTAAAAAACCTGTTTGTATTTCATGGATCACAACTTCTATATACATTTGGAAGTTAACCATGCTTGTATGAAAGTTGGTTTGCAGACAGTGCTTGGTGCCTGTGCAGATTCAAGAAGCCCTGCCATAGGTCCGCTGTCTGCAGGTAATTTGTGATCCCTGATGTCTCTGGCCCACAGAGTGGATCCCTAATCATGCTCACTGGCTCCTGTGGATGTACTGGGAGAGGTTCTGCTCTGTTACAGGTGTTGTGGCAGCTCTTGAGGAGACCTGCAGATGTTATCACTCAAGAACTTTCTTTCTTTCTTTTGAGGTGAAAACCAAGTTAATCCTGGTGAGTAGTGAAGAAGTACTCCAAGTTATTGGTGTCTCTTGCTCATAACACAATGTGGACACTGTATAAGGACAAACATTTGAAAGTTTGAAGCATTCTTTTGAAAGGACCAATTGGCCCAGGAAAATAGTAAAGAAGGCTTACCAATTGATGAGATTTTTAAAAAAGTGTCTTAAATGTACTAACATTTTATTCTTCAAAGCAATACTAAGAGGCAGGTAGTATCATTATCCTCATTTTATATATGAGGACATTGAGGCACAGAGAGGAATAGTAACACGCCTAAGTCGACACAGCTGCTAAATGCCTGCTGTTTAATATTTCTTTTATAAAGCATAAAAGTGTTTGACTTCTATGTCCCAAAGGTGACACAGAAGTTGCAATGGGATATCTCCACTGAACTTTTCTTAATTAAGGTGAAGTGGACGTTATGGTGCACTTCCTCTTCAGGACAGAAGCATTATTCTCCCTGTGGCTGGGAATGATTAAGGCTGACACTTTGCAGTGCCCTGCCCAAGGACACAGCCTCTCCAGGGGAAGTGTGCACCCAATGACTAAACAAGGCAGGACTGTCAAGGCTTTTCCCCTCGCCCAACTCTGCACAGCTATCTCAGCTGCAGAGCTTCCCATGGGATTGGCTGAGGCCTTTGTTGTTACTGCATTATAGCCCAGCTTCTTCCTCTGTCCAATCCTGCTCCCTTCACTCCATATGGGTGTTAATCCCAAGAGCACTAAACTTCCTCCACACACGTTACCATCTGAGTGGGCACCTCAGGGAACCCAACCTGTGCTATTAAGTGCAGTGATAAGATTGAATGTCACCAAGGACCATGGCTTCTGCCCCAGAAGAGGACGTAATGGAGTCAGAGCACCCTGTCTCTTTTGGAGCAGTTGCTGGGCCATGGCCAGGGAATTTGTGTGTTGGTGGTAGGCAGCCCCCTCTGTGTCTATCCCATACTGGCTTTTCACTAATTAACTGGTTATGCTACTAACAACAATGGGGAATACCCTGAGCAAAGCTATCAGACGTAAGTATTGTTGTCCTTGACTGTCCCAACACTCAGAGGGGTAACACTTTGAACACACAAATGGTTACAGTGAAAATGATGTCTCAAAAACAGTAATAATTTTATTGAATAAAGAATACATTGTCTGGTCTCTGTATCTCGGTACCCCCAAATTTCCATCTTACTTCAATTGATAGAATCAAAGTAAGACATGAAACTCAGGGTTTGTGTCAAGATGGTGGCATAGGTGGACTCTGAACTCACCTCTTCCATGGACACAAGAAATTTATAGCTACTTTTGGAACAATTACCCCTGGGAGAGAACTGAAGACTGGATAAAAAGAACCTCTGCAACAAGAGACAGTCCTGACTGAAGTGGAACAGGCAGAAATTCCCTTCTGGAGAGAAGAAAATCCACCTTCACATGCCTCAGTGCTTCATGGCCTCCTGGGAGCAATCAAAGTTACATAGCCTTCCCTGGAGGAGTGGGGGACCTGAGTGGGGGAGCGTTACTGCTATAAGCATCCTTAGGTCCCAGCACAACTAAGGTGAGAGTCATAATATCTAGCTTTGCTGGCTATTAACTACAATGGGGAATACCCCTAGAAAAGCTATTGGACATAAGGGAAAGAAAAGCCTGCTCTTAAAGGGCCCACACACAAATTCACCCATTTTGGAAAGCAACCTAAAATCACCAGAAAGAAAAGTGCGAAGTCCTTTGGTGAAAAGAGAGTCACCTGATAGGCTCTGGATGCATCTTGGTAAGAGGTGAGACCTCTCCAGGGACTGAAACGGCAGCAGCCGTTATTGTGACCTAGTACAGGCATGCTGACACAGATGCTGGCAGACGTCATTGGAGTTCTCCCCTTGGCCTGCTAGCCCAGGGTCTGCTCCACCCACTAGAGCACTGATTTAATCCAGCTCAGCCAGGACAGGCAACCTGCCCTAGGGACTGGACCCACCCAGCAGCAAGCCCTCGGACAACATATGGGCCTGTGTAGGCAGGGTGCCTGGATCCTCTTCAGCCTGGTGAGTGGGTCTAACCCTGTGGAGCAGGGTGTGCATGAGGAGCAGGTGGAGTAAGTGGGACCTCTGCAGTGGGGTGACTAGGTCCGCTTCAGGGGGTCAGGACATGTGCGTGAGGCAGGGCGGTGTTGATGAGGTGTGTGGCCCTGTGGGTGGTGGGGCTTGTCAGCTGCAGCAGACTTGCGTTTCTCAAACAGCCACATAGGGGATGGTCCCCACTTTCCAAAACGTGAAGCAATTGGGTGCTCCCATGCCTGGGGCGGACCCCACTCAGCTGCAATCTGAGAGAGCTGACAACAGCCTTGCAGGCTGGAGGCCTACAGCAATTATAAAACCCTGAGCCCAACAACCAGGAACACTGGGGGCCTACTCACCAAACAGAAAAACAGCAAAGGGAATGTGTTATTAGAACTTGCAGCCAACTGGGCTGGAATTCCCCCACCCAATAAAGTGAATGAAGGGTCCATAGCAGCCACACACAGCTGAGCATTACAACCAGCCAGTCAGGGGGATAGCCCAGCCTCCCTGGACACCTGAAGCAAGAGCAATCCTGCCACAACAGAAGGACACATGTAGCCCACACAGGGTCACTCCTGGAATGTTTGGAACTGGTGACAATACGGAAGCACAGTGCTGGGCCTCATAAGGCATCTCTTACATAAGTCCTCCTCTCCAAGATCAGGAAACATAGCTGACCTACCTAATACATAGATATAAGCACAGGGAAAGAGAGAAAATGAGGAGGCAAAGGAATAAGTTCCAAATAAGGACACAAGAAAAATTCTTAGAAAAAGAACTAAACAAAACAGAAATAAACAATTTACTTGACAAAGAGTTCAAACAAAAACTCATAAAGATGCTTATTGATCTTGGGAGAAGAATGGATGAACTCAGAGAGAATGTCAACAAAGAATTGGAAAATATAGAAAAGAACCAATAAGAAATGAAGAATACAATACTGGAAATGAAAAATTTACTAGAGGGACTCAATACAGAGTAGATGATACAGAAGAATGGATCAGTGAGCTGTATGAAAGACTGGATGAAATCACCCAAGCTGATAAGCTGAAAGAAAAAAGAATTAAAAAG